CGCCATGGAACTTGTCTAAGTTCGTAAAAAATTTTGAGATTCGTCGGGTTTCCCTTTCTATCCGTGTAATTCCATGAAACATCAGTAGGATCGTTTTCTCAAGTACCGATTTGGAAAGTAGAGATTTCAAGCTGTAAAATGCTTTTTTGAACATCTCGATACGATCATTTTTGACGAAGTTACATTCTCTTGAATTTTGCCTATTTTTGGAGGGTAGAGTAAGTGATGCTTTAATTTTGTTGAGAAGTGTATATTTAATATAAATTCTGCAATTATATATAAATCCAAGAACCAGTCTCTTTTCAACACTTTCGTGCGCGACTCGGCGCGATTCCGAGACAGTATATAGTGCTTTCAACGGCGTGCATCTCGACTGTACCCTGCATACGCGAGAACACGTGATGTGCATCCCTTCATCTCTCGGCAGCGGAGAGGGCTGTGACGACACCCTTCTCCCTTCTCTCACTTCGACGACACCTCTCGAGCGACGTTGTGAAAATACGGCGTGTTCATTGTAAAAAAACGTTTCGTATTTTTGCAACGCCGATGCGTTTTGAAATTCGTCGGAGAAGGAAGCGCCTTTCCGCCACCGAGCGTATTCTCGAATGCGCGCGTTTTTCATAATATACACGTATCTTCTTTCCCGTACCTTTCTCTACAACAACAACGAGGAGGCACGAGTGCTCTCTCTCGTGCTCTTCGCTAAATTAACTTCCCTGATTAACTCCCGTAAAATTCGAACGCGTAACTCGTAAGTACGTATAACGTAACAACGAACCAACCGAATAATGATAACGTGGATAAAGTTCGGAGAAGAGAACGAAGCTTTAACAAGGAAGAACCAGAACGGCACGAAATTTCTCCGAGGTTTGCTCTATTGGGAGTAAAATGTAACTTTTAATTAAAGTTGCATTTTCTTTAAAAACTTAACGAAATTAACTTCACTCGTGCTAAAACGCGAATATATCTTGACTATCTAAACAATGATTTCATAAAATATGTATGAATAACGTGAATAAATCTATCGCATTTAACGTTAACAATGTTTCTGCAATAAGAACAGGAGGTAACAAGATGAGGGAGATTTTCGATACATGGCGGAGTAGTCATTCTTTTTCACTTTTAGGGCGCGCGAGAAGTCAGCTGAGTGTCGATCAGACAATAAATCACGATGCGATATGATAACAGATCGATAAATGCGTATCTTTTTCGTGTACAACAACGCATAATTGTCTTTCACACAAATCTGACTGTAAAAAATCCTGTTCAAAGCATCTCCCGTGCCCATTTTCCCCCATTTTCTCCGGCAATTAATTGGAATTATATCTTAATTAATTAGAGGAACTATATCGAGAAGAGCTAACTGAACGCCGACACCTAGAAACTCTTTATCTTATAGCCGCGACTTTATCTTACAGAGAGGCGATTCCTCCCGATCAATCGCCGTTTTACAGCTACAATAACAAGCACACGACGCTACCGATAACAGCAATGACCTCAATACGAGAGGACGAGGCGAGCGCGACAGGTCGCCTAAATAATTATCTAAATCGCGGAGTCGAAGATATGCGAATTCGTCTCTGTTCCAACGAATCAAATGTATTATCGTTCAGAGAAGTGGGATCATCGCGAGAGTAATATAAGGGGACGGTATTTAAACGTATATCTGATATGTGTACTTGATATGTATGTGCATAGATAGATATACGATCTGAGAAGAAAGATAAGATATCTCTTTTATATTTTTGTATTACTTTCCTATATATTCGCTCTTCAGCTAATTCAAAATTAATTTTTCGAGCGAAAAGCTCAAGAGAGATCGTCACTCTTATTGAAGTCTATAAACTTTTAACATTTTCAACGGTGAAACGCACTCAATTTTGAACTTCTGTTAAAGTTAAATTCATTAAGAATTAACTGGTAATCTTGTTAGTTATTTTCCTTCTTGGCTGAAGCCAAGTTCGTTCGAAGCGTCTTTTATCTTTAATCGAGCTGTTTATTCAAGAGTTACAAGTCGTTGATATAGAAAAGTAAACTTTTTAAACGAGTTATAGAATTTATCATTTAAGTGATTGACGCGACGCGGTAGAAATGGAACGTTGAAATTCTTTGGAATTTTTGGCCCTCCATGATCCCATTTAAATGAACAATAATACAGTAAACAATATCAGACGAGCGTAACAATAAGAGTCGCGTCGAGCGATAAATTTATCTAAACTGTGTAAAGTTGGAGGAATCTGTTTCTCCCCCGTTTTCGTGAGGTCAGTACGTATACCAAGATTTGGGACCGATATCATTTCAATGAGAGTACCTTCGCGTATTTGAGGCAGCGAAATCCGATATGTCAGCAGAATTATATCGTTGCATACACTATATTGCTATCATCATGTTAATTACAGACAAACTATCCCAAGATGATTGCATGTTTTTTTCTGACCGATTCAGAATTAATTTTTCCTTCAAAAATATCGACACGTTATTAATTCTTCGATTCCTGGCAAGCTATTGCGCTTCAGGATAAAAAATTAATAACAAAATCATATTAATCTCTAATTAAATTGCGTCCTAATGGAATTATAATTATTAAAACTTGGAAAAGTGGTAACTTCCAGCAACATTTCCGCCGAAGAAAAATTGTTTTCCGGGTTACCAAGGAGATTGCGATTGAAAAAGAACATTCAATGATCCTTCGAGAGAAGCAAATTCGAGATTGCACAAATACTGTTATATAGGTATTAATGACACATATAATTACGATTACACGTTAATTCCACGTGCAATCTTGTCTTGAATCAACCGTACGTATAGATATAGTTTTATCGGTCGCAAACCCTGGCACGCGGTACGGGGGGGTAGTCAGCTACAGTAAATCGTAGGGAGTAGAAGAATAGCGCGATAGACAGATAGAGCTATACCGTCGACGATCGATCGGCTCTTGACGTGTCGAGCGATGCGATCCGCCGACCTACCTAAGAATTGGACAAGAGTTTACTGTGCGGGCGCCAACATACGTACAATTGGCCACATTAGTGTGTGTTTCTGCGGTGGACGAGTCCCGCACGCTGGAAAATCGCAACTGTGACAAATATAACGACATGGAAAAACGGAATCAAATCGCGAAAGTTCAGATTGGACCCCCAAAAAGAAGACTTAACGGCAAGTTGGTCGCGAAAAACAGCAAAATTGTACGACTTTACACTTTTAGTAAACTAAAAAGTGTCTTTTTCTTTGAAAACTCGATTGAACAATCGGAGAAGAAAATCGAAAAATATGTCATTTCTTTTCCTTGGCGGAAATTCAAGACGTCCGAACGGAATTCTTTATAGAGCTCGGTGTAACAAGCGGTTTTTCCGACCAAAATTTTTATCGTTTCAGCGATTTTTCCAGCGTCCGGGCGTAACGCGCTCGAAGAAACTTTACTCTTCTCTCTTCTGGAGCGGACTAGAGTTTTAAAAACGACCGACCGATCTATAACATACGACGCCTACTATACGGCGGCTACCGCTGAAGGATTTTTAATTCGCTGTCACCGCGAACGAGATTATGTAAATGCGCGCGCGCACGCGCGCGCATTCGTGTCTGTCTGTGTGTGTGTGTGTGTGTGTGTGTGTTTTTGTATGCATGTGCGTTTTGTACATACTCTTCTAGAAAACAGAGAGATTCGTTTCTAGTACCAGCCCACACAACGAAGGACACCTTAAGAATTTACGACGGCTTCCGACAACAAGCTCGCGCATTTCGGCGACGCTTCTTCTCTCCGTTAATTTTTTTTCTCTCTTCCTTTTCTACAATAGAGATATATATATCAAACCAACATGTATATATATCTAACGAGTTGTGCGGAAGCGAGTTGATAAAACTCTCTTGCGCTACGCCTACGCTCGCGTAGTCCCTTAAAATCTATACGCGAATACAATTTCATACAGTACTTCATGCAAGGGTGCTTCGAAAGTCGTGCTCTCTTCGCTTCGTTCGAACGGAGTATTAAAGTCGAATTAAGGTCAATTGATTTATCGCGAGAAATCAAACAACGGAATGACGACGCGTACGGTGAAAACGAAAAATTGTTGCTCCTAAAACGCCTCGAACTTCTCGGAATGGAACACGGAGAAATATGTCTCGAGGGACATCGTTAACCGAATGCGGCGGCGTTCAGTGTCGATTTCGTTTGTGCATCTCACGGGTCCGATTCGTCTGTGCGGTTTCGAACCACCCTCGTGAACGACGCGCGAATTGCTCGAATCGCTCTTCTAACTCGCGACTAACTCGACGGTCCTCGCCCGCGATCAGTGGGAAGCTGCGCTCTGCGTTCCTCTACAGCTCTACGTCTCGTAGCGAAGCTACTCACGCGCGCGCGTCTATCACTTCTTCGAATTCTTTAGCATCGCCGCCATGTCCCGCAGACTCTGCTCCAGCGTTTGCGCGAACTGCATCGCGCTGGTCCTGCCGTCGCTGTGGAAGGCCGAGACCGAGAAGATGAATCCGTTCTTCCGCACGTTGTAGGCGCACCCGTAGCCGTCCGGCACCACTGGCCCGTACCCGGCGATCACGTCGTTCTTCGTGGTCACCTGCGGGGATAAATCTTACCTTCATTTCAAGCGTCACGCCGTTTAGCGACGCCAGAAAATCCCTTTTCAACGACGGCTTAGACTTAAGTCGTCGCCACTAAATGAGCTAAGGAAGATACATCTTCATTTCTTTTAGCATAAATTAAGGAATTAACGAATCGAGAGAAAGAGAGATTGAGAAGGAATGTATCCGTGAAGGAAATATATCCCGATAACTGAATATTAAATGTCACGTTGGAATATAACGTGCGAATATATTTCTATGTTAATTAAGCTCGCGTCTTCTCACAAGATATGTGAATCATGTTTTCGGTTACGTAACTTTTCTTAAACAAACTGATCGTATCGCGTCGACCTCGAGCTGTCCGAGTCATTAAGTACCTTTATTTAAATATGCTTGCGGCATGTCCGGGATCTTGACTTATATTTCGTCGTGATAGACCACTTTAAATAATCATCTACATGGCGTGCATCGCGATGTAATCAAGAGGCGAAACGGATTTCGGACTATACCGCGCGCTGCTTGTCAACGTTATTTTCGCAGAGTATAAGCCAATAATTTTGAGCTTATGCCATCTCAGACGTCATAAATACACACTCAAACATCTTAAATTCACAGAGAACTCGCGAAAGGTGCACTCATGGCTAATTGAAAGGCAGCGACGTCACGAATTTTGGTGCCGATAATGGCTCGAACCGATGGACCGACCCTGATCACTGACCTGTGACGTCGAGAGGGCGAAGTGATTAACGATCGCGTAAGCCTCGTCCGTGAAGATATCCGGGATCGGCTCGCCGGCCTCCTTCGCCGCGTAACGCAGCCCCATCAGGTGATTGTCGATACCCTGGCCGTGTATGTTGTCGTTCATCTCTTTCGTCTGCCTCTGCACCGCCAGGTCGAACAGCTCCTTGATCCTTTCCGCCTGGGGGAAGCGAGCCGGAAGCAACGTTCAATTGAGTCCAACGCGCTCGATCGTACGAGTCTTCTTTCGACGAAGATTTTTCCCGATACACGTATCGGAGATCGACAAAGAGCTCGGAGTAATCACGAAGGAATCGGTACGTTCCATTGATTTTAACCAAGATAAATTTGGTACTCTCGACGTGTTAATGAATTTCAAGCTAATCTTTCTACATCTAATTATGCTGATTTGTACCGTAAGTTCCTTCTCATGATATTCCGATTTTAATGAACAGTGCATTTCTTTTTTATTACTATATTTTGTGATGTAGACGACACTCTGTGACGAGCTTATTGCTTTTGAAACATAGAGAAGCAACATCGAGCGTAAAGTATAATCAACGTTTATTAAGCCAGACACGTCTTGAGACGTGTCATATATTAAATGAATAAAATTCACGAAGTCGCAAATTAAACAAATAAATAATGTTAAGCAGAAAATAAGTTGATAACTTTCATAAGATAAAGAAAATAAGCTTGACGGGGATCAACTCGCAAAATTAGAGGGCTAATGTCGTAATAATTTTGAAGAAGATGCATTCGCGAATTTTGAAGAAATATCTTTGTAGAGAGTTCAACTTACTATTAACGTGAAATGACGAAGGAGGGAAAAAGCAGCGGCTGAGACAACATCCCCCTCCCCAGCTAAAGGGGGAAACAACCGAACGCGGTAAACGAGAAACAACAGCTCGTCGCCGCCGGTATTTCCCGAACGAGGGTGAACCGTGTAAGAGAAACAAACGGAATATCCCCGCGGAACTTGCCCGGGTGCCTCTTGAGAATCGTGCAAATACTCGATCGCGAAGGACGGACAAACCGAGCTGGCGGACTCGGTCTAATTGATTGTCTTTTTCCACGGGGAGTGGAGTTCCCTATTTTTTTTTTCCTTTTCGTTCGGCCGCCGATTAACTTGCGGATCTTATCGCGACAAGCGGTTTTATCGGTAACTGCGGCTTTCTTCTCTCGCGCTCTGGAACTCGCACTTCGGGATACTCTCGTACTTTGAAAAAACATAAACATAAAGGGAGACGAAAAGTGTTACTCAAATATAATTCGAGGAACATTGTTCGATGTAACGTAAGTGAAAATCGCACATATAAAAACGTTTACTGTCACAGCAACTCGTACATGGCGTTTCTACACACCGACGACTTGGTGCACCTTACAGATAGAGATCAGCTGAAGCGTAGTGTGGAATACACATATACGAACGTAACGTACGTCAATATAAAATTGTAATTGTAAAAACGTCACATAAATATACAATTGAACGACGAAAACATATTATAACAGAAACAATATGATCTCTAATCTAAATGAGGAAAAAAACGTAATTTTTGATAATAATATAGGGACAAGAGACACGTGTCTATAAACGGAAAAACGAAAGCAGCGTAGATAGTATACCGAAACCTTCTCGTAGGTGGGCGCAATTGGCAATGCAAATGACGGGCAATACGACCAACCGCTCAGAAATTTTTCGTAGCACTGCAAAAGACGCATCGTGATATACATGAACGAAATCAAGGAACACGCGATTGTACTTCACTATGAATTTCAAGCTATTATAATGTAGTGAAGGTACTCGAGGCGAGATATTATTTTTTGAAAATAGCGTTTTTAACCGACGATCCATCAAGTCGTGAACCATTTTGCGAGTGCTCGATGGTTATGCTGTCTGTTATTTTCAACATTTAATTTTGCCGAGATACCAGCGTATCCAAGAGAACAGATCGCTAAGGTTTCGTTATCTTGCGCAAACAAATTATCTCAATGAAAAATTAATCCATAAATTATATCATAGAACTTACGCAAAAATAATCCGTACGAAATAAAATTTATTTGTATTTACAGGAACAACACGGCAAGGGGCGCTTAAAGAATTAAGGCGCTAAGGCGAGATTGGAGAAAAGTAAAAATAAGTAAGACGCATTCCGCTCGACCTTGTCGCAGTTCGGTCGAGTGTACTCGAGCTGTGTGTGTTACACGACACGAGAATCGCATAGGAAAAATGCCAAGTTTCAGTTACACTGTAAATGGTGAACTGAACTCTTTTGGGACTCCCGTCGACGGCGTTGTTCGACTGATTCATCTGGCCAGGATCGCCCTGGCACATGGCCTTAGCCCACGCAAGCGCTTCCGGACTGGCGGCCCGGATGCAGTCCACGCGACCCAACGCGAACCTCCGGATGCCGGCGCTCTCGTAAGTGGCCACCAGTCGCCCGTGAAGTCTGCGAACACCGCGAGATCATGCCGATGAAACGGCGACGGTTTGATCTGATTTCGCATAGAAATATTATCCAACCACTAAGATCTACGCCTCGACCGCGTTTTAAAAAATTTATTTGTGGTATTCACTTACGCGGCCTAATTCAATTTATTTTTGATAAATCGTTTTGTACTTTCGTCTGCCATGATCTTCCTTCGTGTAACAATCGAAAGTGCAAATGAAAGAGAGTCTTTCGTACAAGATTCCATTCCCGAATTTTCGCTATTATATATTATTATATATTCAAATTAGCAGAGCTCGCATTTCGGAACGAGATGTACTTTTTGTTCGCGCGCATACGCTATTCACGCGGAGGAATCAAGGAGAGAAAATAATTTCGCGCGCGAGACTTTAAAGGAGAATTCCTCTTGCACGTCAGCTATACTTCACCTGAAATATGTAAGTTGGAGCGCTAATTGTATGTACGCGTCCGGGCTGACTCTGCAGGACTTCACGAACTCCTTCGAGTAATCTTCGAACCACAGTATACAGAGATCCAAGTCTTCGACCAGTCTGAAAGGCAGTAACAAATACCTATTAGTTAGACGCAGATTTCTGAATAGGATGTCTCGCTTGCAGCAGTAAATTCTTTCAGTTAATTCTTTCTTTAACAATTTTCACAAGGTTTGAATTTGATTGTCGCAGGTAAAAAGCGAAACGGCGAGCTTTTCGTATGATTTCTTTTCTCTTTTCGGAGTAACTTACGCGTCAAAGTTCATCATGGCCTCTCGAATGTCGTTCAGATTTTGCTCGGTGAGACACCACTCCAGCTTTTCGGGCGCCGGCAGATGCGAGGGTACCAAATTCTCATCCGGCGGTGACATCGCGTCCACTTTCTCCGTTATCTCCTCGAACGCCTTGAAGACGGCCGGTGCCTCGCCGGCGGAATGCTCGTACGTCAATCCCCACATTCCGTCCTGTGTTACGGACACGGATTTGCAGAACGATCATTGATAAGAGAAAAAAAAAAGAAAATAACAGGACATGAGTCCCGAGACAAGAATCTGAGTAAAGAATGAACGAAAAAATTATTTTCATTATTCATGTCGAAAAATGACAGTCTTTTTTTAAACGATGAAAAATTAATGAAAAATATGAAAATTAAGGAGAAGTACTTACAATATATATATGGCTATCATATAATAAAACCATTGGCAAACACGGAAGCTATTAAATTAGCTGACTGCATCATAAATATTAATTATATGTTTAATCTCTCAAGAAAATTAAAGAATATTAATGGAAATACTGTCTGATAAATAAATAATACAGAAATACACGCGCGCAAGAAAATTTATATATATATATATATATATATATATATATAATAATTAAAATTTATAAGTTATCCAATAATATTTGCCGGTATATTGTTACACGAAGCCAATTATTGTACGATCGTTTGTCTATTAACATGTTATTGTTATCGCGTATTAATAAATGATGCCGACGGCTGAAAGAGAGAAAACGATCGATCAAACAATCTCGTTCGTTTACGCAATGTGATTAATAAATAAAGCGGAGCTATAGAGATGTCTCCGTCGCGAGAGATTAATTAACCGATCAATTGTAAATGAGCCACGACACGGAGGTAGACTCGGATGTGCGGCGGGACTATCTTTATCTCGTTCCGTGGAAAATATTCCGACAGGAAGGGGCTAAACAACACATTCCGCCGCGGCATATGAAAGCGCAACGTGTGCGGCAACGTCGCGGGTTCACGGAACCCGCGCGATTTCGCCCGTGAACCCCTGACACCAATCAAATCCGAAGAGTCATCTTGGACGCGGTGAAAGTGATAAGTTTCAATTTGGCCGAGCGCATCCGCGGAAAGCGTATACCCGTCGCGAATCATTGCCTGCTCGATTGGGGAGTTTCTCGGGAAACTGCATTAGACGTGTCATTTGGCATTGCGTCGTGCGTCGTTTTTCCAACTGTCAGGAAACATCGTCTAAACTCTAACGTCTCTCTAATCGCGCCGAGCCGCGCGCTCGGATTTCGATCAGATTACAATGAAAAATGTTAGAAAAAAATTCGATTCCACCTATCTCACTTCAGATTTGAATACTGGATGCTGAATTAAATTTCAAATGGATCTAAAATATTGACATTCGTAATTCTTATGTCATAAAAATTGTCATTGGTTTCCGCAACGAAACGAAAATAGACGACACTCGTCCCGCTTTGATTTCGAGACAAGAGAGACGATGTGTGATCAAAGTTACGTAACATAAGAGTATAGCTTTCGTCGTGCCAATAAAACTTACGTCATAAATACGAAACCTGGAACGCATTTACTGCGGATCTCACGTATCCACTGTGTGTAGAAGTTTAAGTGTACGTACGTACCTTGCCGAGGATGGCGTGGAAAGTCTTGTCGAACCAGCGATTCGCGCCCAAGTGCCGGGAGCCACCGCCGTGGAGAGCGTGATGAAGCACGTTCGCGTAATCTCGGTCGCCGATCCATCGGTCCTCCTTCTTCATGGGATTGTTAAACGTGGTCGGCAGCACGTCGTCGTCGATGCAAACGACGCAGAGGCAGCGCTCCAGTAGCTCCAGATTGTGACGATTGCGCTCGTCTGGAAGCCGTTTCGCGGCTATCGTTAATTCAGCTCCGGTAACGATGTAACGTAGCAATTTTCGTGTCATGTACGGCACTCGCGGGTTGGTATTACAAAGATAAAAAGCGTGGGGAGATAATGGAGAATCGTTGCAACAATAATGGGAATCAAATGCAAAATGTATAAAGAAAATTAGATTTCACTTTGAAATTTGATTACTTTAGATTTGAATATCGGGCGCTAAATTAAATTCCGAATCGGTCTGAAAATATCTCATATGTGCTCATAATTTTTGTAAAACTTTTATTGATTTTTTCCAGCGATTTGAAAGCAAGCGAGGTCCTTTTTTTATCCATTTCGAGGCGTGGAAGGCGACGATCTAATTAATGTAACACAAGTTTAAGTAGCTTTATCGTGCAAAACTTACGGCGTAAGTACGAAACCGGGGCGCATTTACGGCATCTATAGGTTTATTAGAACAAGACGCCGCGGGATCTTGCTATTTTAACGAGAGCTGTAGGTACAATCTCACCGTTGTCTTCGCGACGCTCCTGCCTTTTAATTAATCAACGCGAACGCGGGTCGCCGTTAGCTCGTTAGCGTCGGCCGTTCATTCGATTTGTAGGCGTAGGTGGGTCGTAGGTTCTCGTGGAGCAAGGTCGGGTTAGGGAGTTAATGGGAATATTGCGAATATTGGCGAAGCGGCGAACGCGAGTGGATAATTATGGCGAGGGCACGTGGCGACGAGGGTCGTCCGAAGACGACCCGCCCCAGTGGGCTATTTTTTTTCGGTAACCGTATTATCATATTTCTCCCTTTTTTTCTCTTTTTTAACAGTAAAATAAATTGTAATTGCAGAGTTTCAATGAATTAAATAAATCGTTTAACTGAAATAGATAAAATTACGAAGCACGTTTGTTTTTTGCACGTGACACATGCCTGCACGTGTGATATTTCGCAAATTTCGAGAAATCGAATGAACAAAACCAATTATGATAACACGCGATATAATTACTTTATGGAGCAATTTTGAAAGAGTGGCTGTTGCAACGCGCTGCGTCACATGAACTAATTGTACTCTTATTCCTCGCGAGAAACTGAACGTTAAACACGTTATGAAATCAATAAAGTTTTTTTATTTCCTCTGCGCCAGATTCCATAAAGATGATGACAGCGATGCAGCCCGAAGAAGCGCGACAAGATAAAAGCGAGAGATCTTAGATTCTCCTTTAAAACAAATTTTAGAGAGTCGCTCTCTTCGGCTAAACCGCTTCTACTTTTATTAGTCGTCAAAGGCAATTTATTTTTTTTACAATCGCGCTGCTCTTTTTCTGGAAATTCGCAACGCGAGAGCCCCTGAATCAAGCGCTTAAAGCACGATGTTCCCTTCGCGAATGGGATACTTGTACCCGGTGACACCTTTAAACCCTGTCATACGCACTTTTTATCAGCTCCTCCCGCGCCTTCGCCCAGGCCGGTCGCTTCGTGGTCGTGAGAATCCCGACCGGCGGAGTTCTGGGATCGGCTTTGGTCTCCATGATCCTCAGTAACTGCTGGACCAATTCGATTTCCGTGATCCGGCCTCGGTCCGACGCTCTCACCGGCACGCTGTAAAACTGCAAACGGGAGGACGTGCGAGGATCTCGTGACAAAATGTCTCTTCTCACCGAACCGTGTCGTTCCGGTAAATTTACTTTCAACAGGTTCAGCAAATCGCTTGAATCGTTGAAGATAAACGAACAAAAATTAATCTATCACTACATATAATTATGATTAATTTCATCGATGAGCGAACCCCCTAAGGGAAATTAAAGAGAGCAGAACGCCGAAACGTACGGAAATCATCGTATCAATCATTTCATATATCAATATGATGTTGTCCATCTCTGAATCCCACCTGATTATGATGCGCGACGATAATGTGATCGCCGGAGGACGCTCTATCCAGAACAATCTGCTCATCGTTATTTACACCAGGCCGCCGATAAATCCGAAATATTTGATAATGTTGCGCCATACAGAGTGGTTGCATGGTCTTGCCGTCCTTGGATTTCACACGTTCAACCTCCAATCCGGACCTATTCGAAATCCAGAGCTTATTTCTCTTTCTCCGTAAATCGCATCTGCGCGATTTTTTTTTCAAATACAAATGAATTAATTGAAGCTCACAGAGCACCGTACGAATTAATATATTTGAACAATAGAAGCATATTTACTTCGCACGAGTACTGCGAATTTTGAAAACCTTTTTAAGTCATCGCAATACCGAGAAAATACGAATATTCCCTTCATCGTATTTATTGATATTAATTTATTCGTTTATTCATTCAGGATTCAAAATTTCGTAGAAAAGAAATGAATTTCCGAAGAATAAAAAGGCAGGAATAGGATCGACTTCCCTTGACTGTATCGTTCTCGCCTCTGTATCTTTCGAATTTCTGTCTCTCTCCTTCTCTCGTCTTATATGTACTTCATAGAAATGCGAGACAAGACCATCTACGTTGGGGCGGGCCCCCCTCCCCCTTCCGCGAATTTGCGTTAGTTTTTGAGAGAAAGGAGCACTCTCCTGCCGCGGCGCTGCCGGCTTATTCCCGTCCGGATGCAGGATTCCGAGGATCCTTTGAGCTCGCGTCCGCTCTCTCGCGGGTCCCTTTCCTCTTTACGCTCGCTTTCTATGAATCTCCTACGGCTCCCGGATTTCCTCGTAGACGTTATAGTATGCCCTCTCTAAATTGATTTCAACGCGGCTTCTTTTTGTCCTCGACCGAGACGACGAGACGAGACGTGGCCGGCTCGTCCGCTCGTCTCTCCCTCGATTATTGGCACGAATTTGCGCTCGCCATAGTATCAATGACGCGCCCCTCACCCCTCCCCCAAAATGCGCGTCGTTTGAAGCGAAGAGCGGATTAGAAATGATCCGTAAAGGCGCGTCAAAGAATAAAACGAAACTTCTCTTATTGCATTACATTCGAGTTTGATGGGATTGAAGCGAACACCCGATATAGCGAAACCTTGCAACTTATACGACTGGACGATTCACATCTCGGATTATCATACAGAATGAATGAACGAGACCGAATGAAAATTGAGCGGAGCGCGGCTGTACCTTACCTGTCCAGCAATTCCTGATAATTGAGCAGCTCGGTGAGAAATCGCGCGAGAAATACCGCGGCTTCCTGCTGGCTCGCAAATCTCTTCGGTTTCGCAGCCAGGCCGGGGTTGCTGTTAATTGGCAGGGCCAGTGGGACGGACATGTACATGTCATTTAGCCACCATTCCGTCGCCTGCAAACGAACGGAGATTAATGTACACCGTTGAATAAATAGATAATTTAACAGCCGTACGCATGAATTGTTGTTCATTATTAATTAACGCGTGCTCATTGTTAATTATCAGTTACAGTTGAATGTAGAGTCATTCGCGGCGACGAATTGCATTGCAATTGAAAATTACGTAGCAGTCAGGTTCGATTTCGTGATCCAATATGACGGAGGACGACAGGTCCGGCGAACGTTGCGTCACAATGCGTGATAGAGCCATAGAGCGTGATTATCGCATGAGGTTGCATAATAATATAATCACGCTAATTACTCGAAATGACATCGCGCAGTACTTGCGTGAAAGTATATACCCGGAAATGGAAACATATATTAGCGAAAAGAGATTCTCGAGGGAAGTTGTATATACAACCGAGAGAGCTGCGCACCTCGTTCGCTCGCGAGCGTGATTATTTCGCGAGGCAATGATTTGCGAGAAGGCTGCACTTGTAACCTGGCCCCCGGGAAGTGCTTCGAGCTTCCCGGAAATAAATCACTCGCGATCGAGTCAGGCGTTATCGTGCGCGATTCGTTAAGAGTCGATGAGCAGCAAATGATAATAATATTCAGCATGTCTCGAAAGCGGGAAAGTCCCGCAGAAAGTTACGCATTTCCGATGTATTGGAACGCACTCTCGAATAACGTTTCTTCCGTCGTAAATTACACCGTCTCGTCCCCGACAATGGGATTTAATTTTAGCGTCATCTTCTTGTCTCTTTAAATCCGGCATAATTTCGTTGTGCGATTCAACGTTGCGTCGCGACGTTTTTCGCGCATAATTGGGGCTCAGCCTGGAGCGCATCATTAAATGCGGATTAAACAATCGAGTTTTGTTCGCCAATCTTCGTTTCCGCGCGCGTCACGCGATAAAATCACACGTGCCGCAATGAGGAATGGCAAAATTGCCGTTAAAATCCGTGTATAAAAGTCTTTAATTTATTTTTGAGAAACCTCGAGAATAAATTAATTTATTTATTCTCAAAAATATTCGGATGTATGAAAGTTTTACAGAATTTACAGAGCACCTTAAATAATTTCTTAAAATCTTTTTATTTTTTTATCGCGAAGTCCGACTGGAAAAAATAATTTATTGGAACTCTCAAAGCAACATTCTTCAAAATCCTCTTTAATTTGATCATTAATCACACATTTAATGCTAATAATTACTCGTACTTCAGAACATATCTAACATTAAGCATATCGATACTTAGTCTCTTGATATACGTACATACGTGCAATTACAACGAATTTTGTCATTCGTCTATCTTTCGCGATGTATTTGAGATACCCTCTATTTATTTTACAACCTGTTTGACAGGGGCATCAACATTGCGAACTTTCTCGTGAACATAACAAGACAGTCAGGAAGACGCAACGAATATGTTTTTGTCATGTCAGAGAAAATATTTTCCTGCGATATACCTGTCTCTCACGACACGAAACTCGCAGTAAAACGTATCCGTCGTTTATTCGCGAGAAAACGTATTCGCAACGCCAACACCGCGGACGCCTTGCGTCAACGTTTCATCGTCACGATACAGTTTTACGATATTTCAGAGAATTACCTCTTTAATCCTGCGGGGCTTCTCGATTCAATTCATGACCGACTATTCTCGACAAGAACATCTCGCGGATAAAAGACGATTCGACGAAAAGGTGATTCGACACAGTGGTCGGGGATGCGCCATTATGGCATGTGTGAAATTAGCACTCCAATAAAATTCCATAGTTTCGATTAAAGTTCCCGGTTTATTTCGAAGAGACAAAGAGTTCCCTGTAGTTTATAACAAGAGTTCTGCTTATAATAACAATTTTTAATTTAAATTTAAAAAATGGTGCTAACTTTTTATCGGAATTTAAATTAAAAATTGTTATTAAGCAGAACTCTTGTTATAAACTATAGAGAAATCTTTGTCTTCTCAAAATGAAGGAACTCTAATCAGAACTATGGAATTTTAATGTTGGGCTAACTTCACACGCACCACCGTGATAGGACCGGCGCGACTTTAATCTCATCTCGGAGACGAGTAGATCTCCCCCGCGTGCGCGCCCCCTCCCCCTCTCTCGTAATTGTATCATCCCCCTGAGAGAAGCGAAAGGGCCTCTTCTTTCTCCTCCTCGCGCGATTCTAGGTCAGTGTGACGAGCGGCGTGTCGCAGCTCGCGTGCATGCATGTTTCACGAGATCCGTCTCCACGTCAATACAACAACGTATCGCGGGCACCGCTTTCGAATCGCCTATAGATAGAACTTACGAGCTCGAGCTTGTCGCGTATTCGCGGAATAAGGGGCTATATTTGACCGGGGAATGACACCGTTTCGACATCGCGACGGGGGATGTCGGTGGGGCACTTGTGTTCTTTTTTTAGATCGCTGATATATAGTTTCGGCGATGTGCGGCGAACAAAGGATCGCGCACGGGTCGGTTTTATTTTACTCTTTTTTTTCCGGACCGGATCTTCCCCACTGAATTCGGAGATGATATTTTTCCACCGTAAGTTTGATGATAAATGGAATTTCAATCGAATTTTCTGTTCATAAATGGCAGAAATCGACGAGAGTTACATGATTATAAAATTGAGATTGCGAGGCTACGAGGATCGTGGCTTAAATGATGTGTAGATTAAATAAATATGCAGTTCCGTATGCATTTCGAATTGCTGATTTATCCAATAGATTGATTACATGGAAAAGATATTTATTACGAAATGTCTTATAAACTAATTAATTTACACAATTTTCGTATTTATTAAAAAACTATGATTCGGAGGAATTAATGATCCGTAATTGTTGTGACATGTAAATATTCGATGCGGGTGTTGCGTCAATATGCGATAGGTACAGCAGAGAAGCGGAGTGGCATTGTTTGCATTATTTATTTCTTAATCATCGAAATACGCAATAATTAGACACACTCTCTAAATTTTCTGGAGTGAATCTCACTTCAAAAGATTGAAAATACTACCACTCGGCCACTTGAGTGGCAGTATTTTCACTCTTTTGGAATGAAAAGTCACTCCAGAAAATTTAGAGAGCAACAATAAAATCTCATTTTCCAAATTTTAATTTAACAGCACTGTAACTCGAATTATAATATATGGTTCAAGTGAAATATTGAAATATATTATGAAATATGATTTCAGGTTGTGCATAAATTGCAACTGTTGATAATTCTTTATTATCTTCGCAGAAAAGCTTTTTATATTATGATACTTTTTTTGATGAAAATTTTTTTTAAAGGGATTTTACTTTATTTAACCACAGGTCTGGTTTCTGTGAATGTATCTATTAATTAAAAATCCATCATTAAAATCCATCAAATGAAATTTCTTTTAAAAGAATCTTCATTTATTGTGATTCGCTCCGTTTTATCCACGATCGCTGTCGTCGAACGCTGTTCTTCGGCTGAGTGTGAGATGCGCGTCTCCGCTGCGAATCCGGATTACGCAAAGACAAAACGACGTTGCAGGTCGAGCGCAACGCGTTTCGCGGCAGACGCAAATCGGTTCATCGCGTCGAGGGGGTCGAATCGCGCGGGAGCTCGTCGCACTCGCAAAGAGGCGGACAAGACTTATCCGACCGGCGACAGCCGGTCGCTTTGACTGCCGACGGCGATGCTGGACGGCATCCTTCGGGCACGAACGAATATGTTTCGACAACGCGTTGCGCCACCGGACAAAACGCGGATGCGCACGTGCAACGCGCTGCGCAACAACGTTATACCTATGCACACGCGACGAGCGAATTACACTGTCAGATTGTATTTGTTGTCGGGCATTAGATTGTGTGGGAATGGCATTCTCCGGTCTCAAGATTGAACGGCTTCTGTCGACTCCTGCTTAGAGGACTCCCGCCGCCACCACCGCCGCCGCCGCCGCCGCCGCCGCCGGTCTTAACGAGCGTCCATCACCTACCCTAAATCGCGCGAATGAAAACGCGTTAGGTGACTCGCGTGGTAACAACCGCGCCGCTTAACTAATTATCCCGCGGTCACGCGGTTCAACAAGAACAAAAAAAGGAAAAATAAAGACACTCGCGGCGCGCGTTATTAACGTCTTGCGTCACCGCGCGTGGGGTCCACGCGCGCGCTCGCACGCACGCGTAATTGGTGCTCCCGCGAGGACCACGCGCGTACGGGGGGGTAGTAAGTATATCCCATTGACGTGATGAAGTCCGCGAGAGCCTCCGACTTCGACGATAGCGATCGTTCTCACACACACGTCTCACGGAGATCTGTGAAAGTGCCCACGGCGCACGTCCGTTCGTCCGCAATCCCTCGCAATCACGCGAACAATTACCAGATGCTTAAGTAATTGCGGTTGTTACCTCGCGAGCACCTCTAACGCTCACGTTTTCTAATTAAAGATCCCAAGTACTAGATTGATATGTCCTGCATAATGGAGCACGTGAATTTAATATACGCGGCGTTTAAGTAACAGGCGACGCTCTGCCGTGCGACGTTACCCCGTCGAAAGGAAAAAGGTAGACATGCTTCTATTAATAACGTTACGGTAAATACGTCGAAAGAGGCTCGAGCAAATTTTACATACATCTTAAATGCGAATAATCGTGATCGATTAGAGAAGAAAAGGAGGGCTCGTGCAGCTCCGAGAGAGAGACAGGAATAAAGGAGAACTTTATTCTTCGATTAATCTCCACGACTCCTGCACATGTCGGTGGAGAAAAAGATTTCCAGGATCAGTCAGTGACACGACGCGGCATCTCGACGCGGCCGCGGCGCGGCGGCCGCGAGATGGATGCTTGCGAAATCGGCGCGCGTTCGGTGCTCCACGCCGCCGCGCCGCGCCGCGCCGATGCGCGCCGTTCTCCGCGGATTAATGAGACACCGGCGCACGTGATCGGTGCATTAGAGCATCCTCGTCGAATATGGATTACCCGTCGAATCGCCGTACGCCGATCGTCGCATCTCCCTGCGTGTATCTCTCCGACCCCGAAGGTGTTTCGTTA